ACCACGTTCCCATGCTTGGTGGAGTGGAGAGTTGTCTTGAGAACAGTTGCGAGGCCCGGAAGTCAAGCAATGAGAACGGGTTTACATTGCTATCCGTTCGCAGACATTCTCCCAGCATCATAAAACTCTCATTGTGTTAAGTTGCACAGCTGAGCATACAAACAAACCTCTCTTGCAGTTTTAAAATTCCTGTTGTTGTAGCCGTGTTTGCTTTGACAAGTATTATTCAACGGGTAAATCCCCAGAACGCACTTTTTAATGCGGAAAAAGTGCATTTCCTTCTTTTATGAGGCCTGACGGATGGTTTCAAAATGTCATATGGATGCTCAGTGAGCGGCACGCTTTATTTGATTGTTTTCATGATTGTCTGCATGAGAAAGTATCCAAGTTTTAAGTTGGTGCCTCCCGTGTGTGTCTTTGCAGTTTTCTGGGTCAGATAAATGATGGTATGAGAAACGGGAAATGTAAAAAGACGTCCCTCAGCTGTGAATTACTCTTGTTCCCAATAACTTCAGATGTTTGTGTGTGCATATCTCTGTGCTTGTGTTTGTGTTTAAGACCTGCTGGGCCATCCTTTGGTTGTTCTCATGCTATTCTTTGTTTACCAGAGTAAATGAGTCAGTGACACACAAGTGTCCATGATAAAGAAAATGGTTTAATGTGGTTTTCAAAAAAAACATTCATACCATTTTTGACCAAAATGTTAATGCAGTGACTGTCATGTGGTGTAGCCATCAAGTAAAAATAATAACATATTTTCCTTGCACCTGCCACACAAGTGAGTGTACACAATCATTATTTTCCAAAAAGTGTTCAAATTTTAACAAATAGCATTAATTATTAATAAATACCATTAGGTTTTTAGGGAGCCGCAACATGACATTTTACTAACCTTACCTCGACATAAAAAAATATCTGTTATTTTAAGAGACTTAATGACACAGTTATGAGGGTCTGCAGGAGTCCTACCTAAGATATAATTTTCCTGTTTTGATTTTAGTTTGTCTGGTTTTGGTTTGGTTTGCTTTGGTTTGTTTTTGTTTTGTTTAGCCTAGTTCTTTTTTTCTTTTATTGTTATTCATTTATTATATTTTTGCATTGTTTGATTTGTTTTTGTTATTTTGTTTTTGTTTTGTATAGTTTGTTTTTTATTTGGGTTTATTTGTAGTTTTGTTTGGTTTGTTTGTTTTTTTCATTGGTTTTGTTTAGTTTAGTTTCGTTTTTTGTTTTTATTGATTTTTTGGTTTGCTTTGGTTTGTTTTGTTTTTGTTTTGTATAGTTTTTGTTTTTTAATTGGTTTTGTTTGGTTTTTGTTTGGTTTTTCTGCATGCTAGTCACACCATGTGACTTTTCAAGATTTCAAAACAGTTTTTTAATGAGGCTTTTTTCATCATGATAGCAGGACCCCCATTTCAAAATGTACAAAAATGCTCGTCATAGAAGAGCTGTATTCAAGTCACTGTATGTATGAAATGCATTTTTCAATGTTTCATCCCATTTAAACCAACCCAAAATTATACACTCTAATTATTACCCCATGATTCGACTGGCAGCATCATCTTCTATTCGAAAAAAGGAGTCGTTGTGGCGAAATTGGCATCTTTTCTCCATGCCGTTGGAGACATGGTGGGCATCTAAGCATGCCACTGACTCACGACTTCAAAGTCATCGTCTGCACTAGAATCCGGGGTGGGGGCGAACTGGATCTGAAATTGGGGTTATTGTGGGATTTTTATGCAGCGCAGCAGATTTTCTTTCTCCTAATTGGGAGTGCATGGCAGTTCTGTTCCCACTCGGGAGACTCAGATTTGATTGTTTATGCCCACACTGTGCTCTGAGGCGCTGATGTTGTCAAGACGAACCGGAGAGGTGTCACCACATGGAGTCGCAGCAGAGTTGTAATGATTAACGATTAGTGTTTAGTCTGAAGTTCATGTTTCATTTAAATTCTATCCCACATGGCCGTTTTTGAATGTACGCCGTGCATGTGGAAACGGTCAACTGCTGCAATTGAGAAATTACTGACTCACAGTTCAGGTTGAAGACTAGCGCCAGTAATTGAAGGGAAGCCGGAGGATCCAAAACCATTGTGACCACATCAGAGCGCCTTTAGTGGTCAGATGATGTGTAATCAGTGTGTTCGGGCATTCGAACACGATGTGCGAGAGTATGCGATCATGCATTAACATGCAAGTGTTTTTGCTTTTATGTGCCTGAGTTGGCAGGGGATGGAGATGTGTTTGTGAGAGCTCAGCTGGAAACTAGGCCTTCCATGGGGCTGTTACGTTGAGCGTTTGGATGTAATAAATCCCTGGCTTGATTTGAATTAGGTTTGCAACACCACTTAAACGCCAGATCGAAATTTCAGACTTGGCAATCAAGCAAGAGCATTCAAGCTCTCAGTTTTATATAATATCACATAGTTTTGCACCTTTAAAGAGCAGGTCATATGGTATTTTAAAGTGTCCTAATATTGTGTTGGAGTCCCCTACAACAGGTTTAAATGCATCTAAGGTCAGAAAACATTGTAATTTTCTCAGAATATACATTTAATATTAGAGTCATTTGCCAATGATTTCGAAACGATTCGTTCCAAGCAAGTTCGGAGCAAACCCCTCCCTTCCATAAGCCTACTCTGCTCTGATTGGTCAGCTGGCCAAGCCTGTTGATATTGGCACAGAGAGGAGTCCTTGAGCAAGTTAGCATCGCGAGCGCTACCATTGACAAAGCACCTTTACATAAAACAATAATATAATGCTCCAATCCGTTCTTATAATAATGACATAAAATACAAAACACATAAGCGAATGCCCACAGCTAAAGTTTAGCTGCTAAACTGTGAACACTTAAAACAATAATGGCGGATACGTTAGCCGAGTGCTAACGTGACTAACTGATGAAACAATACAGTTTGTAAACCAAAATATGTCTACTGTAATGTATGAAGGACGGCAGACAAAAGACGCTGTCTTAACTTTTAATCAGAACGCAGAACAGCTGTATCACAGGCGCAGCAACCTAATTAGTCCAAATTAAGAAGATTAGAAGCCAACGAAGATAAAAGTCAAAATTAGAGAAGCAGTCCTCGGTAAAATGACATGCACACAACAAAAACATTACGTTATAAACTGCAAAAGAGATATTTTTCAAAAACCCATATGACCTGCTCTTTAAATCCTGAAACAGTTGCTTAGTGACTCGCAGCAAACAAAATGCATTCTGACAATCCTGATTGGCCTGTTACTATGATAATGGAAAACAATTCCTCCCTTTGGGCTACGTCCGAATCGATGAACTATCATAGTGTGTTTGACTTTGACTTCTTGATGAAAACATTTTTTTTTTTCTCTTGGCTTTTCAAATCATACGGCTTCAGCTCCAGTTGCTTTATGGTATAGCAAAGTGTCTCAAAGTTGCATACTACAGAATCCAGCAGATGTTGTACATCATCCAGATGTTGTTCGCCTACTGTATTGTAAATACTTAGTACTGGACTTCCTACTCATTTGACAGTGTTTGCATACTGTATGCAACGTTGGACTTTTGAACTTTCTGTCAATGTGAAAAGAAGAGCTGAAAAACAGGTGCACGTTAGTGAGGTTTATGATAGGCCGTTGCATAAGCTATAGAATGAGTGGAAACATTAGCAGATTAAAATGTAAACCGTGAGAAATGTAATTTTGTTTAAACAATGGGATGATGGATATGCTGATGAAAGATGGATATGCTGAACAATCAGTGTGGATTGAAGGAAGGAAGAAAGCGGTAATAGTTTTAGAAAGGAAAGCACAATGATTCATTTACACAAGGTATTGGAACATACTTAGATAATCATGGATGTATATAATTTCCATATTAAAATCAAATTATCATCAGTATCTCACCTTCCACTCATAAATAACATTTTGAGGAAAATTTGATTAGAGAATAACTACCATTCAGTGGAAAACACAAAAAGATGATTGCATTTGTTTAATACAATCAAAAAGCTCTGCAAAATATTTCAATATATATTGTAGCTATTACTGTAACTAAATATAAAAAAGATGATTGTAATTTCCAGACCTAGAAAAAAAAATTGTTTAAATAAATAAAGTAAATTAAGAATGTAATTAAGAATAAATTAAGAAAGGTCCTGAAAAACTATATTTTTTAGTTTAAAAAATGTTGTGAAGTTATCTGTTTCAGTTTGACATTGTCACTCTTATTTAGATCCTAATACAAAAAAAACTGTGCTTTAACCCTGTAAGACCCAAATTTAGAAAAAAACTGAAAAAATTATTTCACCATTTATATGTTGTTGTGGGAGGCCTCTAATGCAGAAATAAATGAGTTTGAACATTTTTTTATTTTTAGTACGTTTTTAGTACAACAGTGGGCCTTACAGGGTTAAGTAGCTTTTTATTATTGGATTTTAGTACGTAAATTTCATCTCCGTTATTTGGCAAAGCAACATGTTTTTTAAATACTTTAATACTTAAGCTTCTCATTTAATACTTTATTTCAGCTTTATTTCAATTTCCAAAAACCATTTTTAATTTTAATTTTAATTTTAGTTGTAGTTAACAATAACCACACTGATGCACATCTCAATATAAAAGAAAATCATTGCAAAATTAACCGCATACCCAGAAAGCTTAGCGACATGAAATTTGAACGGACGATGATTTGGAGCTCATCTGGTTGTTTTGATTCTTCATATGAAGAATATTTTTGCTGGTAGTTTAGAGAACAGCTTGCACTGCATTTTACTGTCTGACTCCAATTTGACAGTCACACCGCTCACATGTAAGACAGCATTAGTCACCGAAATTAGTCACATCGTCACTTAGGAATGATTCTTACTACAACCATGTAGCCATGTTGGGAAATTTAGCAGTTGTGTTGTGTCTAGAGCGCTTTCCCACAGATAAATAAGCATTCGGCGTAGTTTGACCTAGTTGTTTCCTCCAATGTTAGCATAGTGCTAATGTTTCTCATTTTTCCCACCTATTTCTTAGGTTCTAAGAGGACCGCAGCTCATCGCAGTGGCGTCGACCGACGGGACCGGCGGGGTTGACGCGTCTCCACTCCAGGGTAACGATATTCAGGTGCAATACGTCCAGCTGGGAACAGTGACCGACCACACCGGCACAGTACAAGTGAGATAAGCCAAAAACACAGTCACACATTCAAACACAATTTACTGTAATAACGTTTTCATCAATGTTGTCAACATTGTCTGTGGCGTACAGCTGTTTTATTTCAGGGAGGAGTGTTTTCTGTCTCAAAGTGACTACCGATGTCACACTGGTGTGTGATGAATGCACCAATTTGTGGTGGGCGGCAATTCTGTGCCAATGCCGCTGGGTGGTGTAGTGACCAATATGTATAGTCAAACTCGCTCTCTCACCATGTGTTCTTTCTAGAAATCGTAGGCAGTGATTTTAACCTGCTCTCCGCTCTCACTTTCGGCTAATCAGCAACCCAGATCAGTTTGTTTTTCCTCGGAATAATAAATAGCCCTTAGTTGTCCTTTTCCTCCCTGTCTATTTTCTCATTTTTATCCCTCTTTTCCATCTCATGCACTACATCAAGTTTTCAACATGATGTGTGTTTTTACTCTAATCACTTCCCTATGATGCCGTTACGGCGTTTTGGAGCCGTGATATGGCGTGCACGCATATTCAAACACATTTAGAGGTTCGACAGTCATTACAGGTCACCACATTTCCCCAGCTGCACTCACGTGTTTGATTCATGTGAGGCTTCAAGCTAGGGTTGAGCAGCGCAGGCACAATTTGACTTGCATATTTGACATCTGCTTTTACGTTTCTGTCTTTGGAGAAGAAAAGCTTTTTTTAATGCGAAACAAAGAACAATCAGTGTTAAACCTCGTGATGTGAAATTAGTGGGTCAAATTTTGGTTGGCAAAGATTTTGTGGCGAGATAAAAAAACTGTGACAATAAAATTATTTGAATTAAAGGAATAGTTCACCCAAAAATTAAATTCAGGCCGTCCAAGATGAGTTTGTTTCTTCATCAGAACAGATTTGGAGAAATGTAGCATTACATCACTTGCTCAGCAGTGGATCCTCTGCAGTGAATGGGTGCCGTCAGAATGAGAGTCCACACAGCTGATAAAAACATCACAATAATCCACAAGTAACCCACACCACTCCAGTCCATCAATTAACATCTTGTGAAGAGAAAAGCTCTTCATTAAGGCATTTTTAGCTTTAAACTGTTGCTTCTGGTTAAAATACAAGTCCATAATTCTCGAGTGAAAAAGTCGTCTCATCTGAATCAAGAGAGAAATCTGCACAGATCAAGCACTGTTTACAAGCAAAAAAAAAAACTTCTAAACAAATATGTCAGTGGATTTTGATGTGATACAACAAAAGGAGATGGGCTTTTTCACTGGAGGAAGAGTTCTGAATTATGTTTGGACTGTTTGGACTCTCATTCTGACGGCACCCATTCACTGCAGAGGATCCATTGGTGAGCAAGTGATGTAATGCTACATTACTCCAAATCTGTTCAGATGAAGAAACAAACTCATCTAATTTTCATTTATGGGTGAACTATTCCTTTAGTGTATACAGTTGACACTGTAATGTATATCATTAACACTGCAAGATATAAAAAATACACTATTTATACATTTCAAAATTGCCAAGGTCAAGGAAAACCTGGAAATTAGAAAAAAAAAAGTGTGATTTATATAATAAATAAAAATTAACATTAAAATCTAATGGAAACCCATTGATAAGTAATGCATTTCTTTAATGAACATATTTTTTAGCACTTAAATATTTAATTTAATTTTTTTAATGTTTGTTGTTGGTTTAATGCTCTTTTGTTGGTTATGATTGCTTCTATTGTCCTTATCTGTTAGTCGCTTTGGATAAAAGCATCTGCTAAATGACTAAATGTAAATGTAATTGGATAGAAAAATTAGTAAAAGCTTTAAAAATCATGACATTTTTATAATGAGCAATTTAGTTTATCAAAAAATAGTATTGAAAAATCATGAAAAGTCATTAAACAAAAAGAGTAGGAACCCTGTGGATATTTTAAGTTTAGACTGTTTCTGTTTGACACACGTTTTTTTGTCATTTTGCACATTATCATCAAATAAAATTGAGTGAAATGGACTATAACGAATGAATATAATGACATATTGACAAAATTAAAATATTTTCTCTGAAAGTCAAAATACTGAAGCAAAAAAACTGTAAAATCAACAATGAGAACATCAAACATTTCAAAGCCCTTTGTTGTGAACATCCCTCTTACATTTTTTAAAAATGTGTTCTCAAGCACTCCACAGACACTTACGGCACTAGCATGCACCCCCAGTATGGCTTTTGTGAGCGCGGGAATGTGAGCTATTTGGTAACAGGGAGGAGGACGAGGCCTTTACCACAGTTGCCCTTTAAAGTGGTTAAGCTGGTACAGCTAAAACCTCTTTAGACCTTTGGGCGCTTATGGTTTAAATAGTCTTAAAGGGCATTTCCTGCTTAAAATCAGTACTTTTTTCAATTTGCTTTGTTAATACACTTTGTGCACGATTCATCATTGATTCATCAAAAAAAAAAAACTCATCTTTCAGTAAAATGACATCACTTGCTCCGCCTCTGAAACGATTTTCCTTTACCGATGACATCACCAAGACCTCTTATCTTTCAGCCCCTCCCCCTTCTCTATACTCTGCTGTAAACAAAGGCCATAAAAAACAAACAAATGTTCCCCTTCCTCTCTTTGAAGTGCATTCTTTCATTGGATGTGCTGTATCTGGGCCAGATTTGTTGTACGGCTTGTTATCTGAGTGACCTGCATCTTTCTTTTCCTCTTTAATTTCTTTCACTGATACACACACTTGCGTTTTGGCCAACCTTCAAATATGTAGTGTCTAGGCAAGCTGTAGCAAACCCCAGAAAGCAGTTTGTGGGAACGGCCTGATGATTGCCTGCGTACCCAGACCCCATCAGACGGTCTTCGATTTACCTCTAGCCTCACTTGTTGCTTTCCTTGGTGGTCTGGACTCCTTCCAAATTGGCTCTGCAATTATACTGTACACATCAAAGCTGTTGGAAAGTTGTTAATGGGCTTTGATGCTTGAACAGAGCGCACGCAGCATGCACAACATTTGACGCAATCAAGTGAGTAAATCTCTGCGAATCGATTATAGATTACTGCCGCTTTGTGACAAACCACCTGTCAGTGTGACACGGGGATAAAATAAACAGCTGTCAGAGGAAATTAATATGGATTATGGCATGAACTCACTCAGTGGAGCTGTGCTGAAGTTAGAGAACTGAAAAACTACCTGCTGTTTTTGGAGAAATTATTTGGTGGGAAATTTGTTTACATGTAAATCAATTCTTGCATGTTTAATATCTTGCTCTATTTTTTTAAATCAAAATTTAAAATAAAATTTTCTCTTAAAAAACGTATCTATATCACAGCCTGCCTAAGGACATTGTGTATTTCATATATTTTCATAAAAAAATTAGGTAGAGTGTCTACATACAGAAATAAATTGATTTGATTTGAAACCCTAACCAGTCTCAACTAGTCACAGCTGTGATTCGATTTTTCATCCATTTTTTTTATTGTAGCCACACCCACAGTAAAATTTCATAGCCACACCCACAGTGAGATCCTATTGGTCCAAATTCCTGCTCCACAGAGCTGTGTATTAAAGATCAAATATAATCTGAGTGGCTGTAATTGTTGTGTTGTGCAGCGTTTTTTATTTAAAACTTGGACAGTTATCTGTCATATTCATAGTCATATTTAGTTGGAGAGCGTGTCAAAAAACAGCAATGAAAAAGAAATTAAATTATTTATTTTAATAACATTTATTAAGAGTAGAAATGAACCTCAGTGAGAAAAACAAATAAAATAATAAATACATACTCACTTACATACCATATATTTGGATTTTAAGTAGACACTGGGGACAAACATAAAATATAATGATTTACCAAAAAATAAATAAAAACTTTAGAACATTAGTGGACCTCAGGGAAAAATTCAAGTAAATAAAAAATAAATAAGTAGGTAAGTACGTGAATTTTAGGTAGATATTAAGGCCAAAAATAGTATCTAATGATTACAAAAAATATATAAATAAATTTAAAAAAAGAATAGTAATAATTGAAAAAATTAAATAAGTAATAATAATTGGAAAGATTAAAAAAAATATTTTATTTTTTTAGTGAAGTTTATCAGTTTTTAGTGAATTTTAAGTGGACATCATGGACAAAAATAAAATATAATAATTACAAAAACAAAAACATTAAAACAAACGAACATCAAAAGAACATTAGTGGATCTAAAGGAAAATTCAAGTGAATTTAAATAAATGTTTTAAGTGCATATTAAGTGGACATCAGGGACAAAAATAAAATATCATGATCACAAAAAGATAAATAAATAAAAAACTAATAGTGGACATCAGGTAAGAAATTAAGTAAATTAAAATAAAAATAATACAATTTTTACTTTATTGACCCATTGCACCCTACTTGGGGAGCTAAGAAGCCAGTAAATGACATCCAATGCTTTAAAACAGTGGTCACCAACCTTTTTAGGCCCAAGATCCCTGACCTCGGCCTTTATGAAAGACAAGATCTACCTATTGAAGAATTGATAGAAAAAGACATCCCAGAATGTACTTCAAATTTGAGGCCTTTTACTTTTCTTTTCTTTTTTAACTAGCAAATTGGATTCTGATACTGGTACTAATTTTGAAGCAAATTTATTTATTGGCTATTTGCTTTATAACAAACAAACTGGCTTTAAACAAAAATATCTAGCCATTTGAAATTAGAGGCAACCACTGCATTTTAATCACGATCTGCACGGGCAGTTGTTTTT